CTCAACATTTTTTATAAGCATGAACATTAAAAAACTATATGAATCAACTTGTTTTAACTTAAACAACTTTAAAATAAATTTTCCCAATTTCGGCTAATAACAAAAAGTAGTTTGGGTTTATAAAAAATAATTTTTGTCCAAAGTATTTGGGCAATTTCGGCTACTAATAGAAGCACTTTCGGCTAGAAACCTTATGCTGTACTGGAAAGAACAAATGGTGTTGTTTAACTAGCAGACAAAACAGTGTTAAATCTATCAGTTAGTTACCTACTTACTTAAATTTGTCTGACAAGCTCTTTTTTATATTTAGGATGACTCTAAAGTAGTAACTATTACTGAGTTCTGGAATCTATTCAAATTAAATCAAAATCAAGCCATTGGGGTGGTAAGAAAAGGAACAATAAAAAAGATAATGATCACAACAACAAAGATGATAATAATTATGGTATTGATGATGATCATGAAAAAACAATGAATGAAATTATGAATGAATATTCTGCCCGACATTACTTGCAAAAATGATGATCCATATGGTTCTATTGAGAACGCCTTGAAGCATCTAATTTGTGTAATTATGAAACTATCTCAACCAACAAGCAAGTAGAGATTCCGTACAACTTTCAATTCCGTACACTATTTTTTTTTTGTTCCGTACACTTTTTATTTTTATTTTTTAATTTTGTACGGGACGGAATTTGTGAATTCTGAAAAGTTAATTGGTGGGGGCCAGTCTGTACAATCTTCGATTCCATATTTTTGTTCCATGATTTACTACAGAGGCGCAGATGTACGGAATACGGAACCTGTATAAACTCAAACAACCGCCATACAAGCATTATAATTTGTAAATGCATTTGATCTTACATCCCTATAAAAAATAACATATGGAATTTCCGTATGTCAAGTACGTTCTAAAAAAATAAACACGAAATTAACGTATTTATTATACTGTTTGAAAAGTTGTGATAATGATGGAGATGAAATTCTATTAAAGCGAGATGATTTGTTTAAAATTTTCTTGCCTAAAATCATGAACTTAGGTAATTCGTCATTATATTTTCTCTTTATAAAATAAATAAATATACATATATACAAAACAAAAAATAATTTTATTATTATTATTGTTATTTTGCACCATGTTTATAAAATATGAAAGAAAAAGAAAAGGACAGTGTTAATATTTTTTCAAATTTAGATATGAGAAAAGATTTATTAGATCCACAATTTAATTTTGATTATGAAGGTATTGAAGACATTAAACAAAATATAGGAGGATTTGAATATAAAAAACCTTATGGATGGAAAAGAATTGGATTAAATGTTTTAGATAAATATGATAATGGTAATAATGAATGGATTGGATTTGATGATAATCGTAGACGTAAACCTAATACTAATGAATGGCCAGTTTCATATCACGGCACAGGCAAATACAATTCAAATTGTATTGCACGAGATGGATATAATTTGTCAAAAGGAACAAGATTTGCATATGGCCATGGAATTTATTCAACACCTGATATCAAAATAGCTGAACGTTTTGCCAAAACATTTGAAATTAGAAATCACAAATATCTAATTGTGATTCAAAACAGAGTTAACCCTAAAACTATGAAGAGAATTAAAATTGGTGCTGGGATTGAATATTGGATTTCTCCTAATGATAAAGATATTAGACCATACGCAATTTGTTATAAAAAAGTTGATTAAAGTTGATTGAATTTATATTCTTTTATTATGTTATTGTTTTTAAATAATTATTATTACTATCATTATTTTATCAATTTTAAATTAAATGTTTTAGAATTGTTAGTATTTCACAAAAAGAATGTACCATAAATATATTTACCCACCTTTTAATAAATCATATTCTGATATTGAGTGTAATCTATTATGTCAATGTTTCTTTTATATATAAATTATGTACAATGAATTAATTCCATTAACAAGTAAACCTTGTTACACTAAATCAGGAAGATCCAAATCCTCCTATGTATAGCTAGTTATCATTGCTGCTGGTGCCATCAGCTAGACATATCCTGCCACAATTGAAATGGCAGTAGAGATCCCTTATAAATGGATCAGGTCTTTCACCATAAGTGTTTGTGTGCAAAAAAAATGTTCCTTATGTTATGGGCAGCATTAACATCTTCAATTCCGATGTGTTAGACAGACCAGAATTTTTTGATGCTTATCAAACCACCCATCAAACAAAGAACACACCGAAGAAGTATGGAAATCACCAACCCTCACCACCTTGCAGTGTCTAGAAAGTTCTTGGTGAATTCTTTTATAGGACCTGGAGCATGCCCATGTGATGTTGATGAGAATTTACATCACCAAATGCAACAACTGTTAATATTTGTTATTCTCTTGCACAGAATATCAAAGGTCTTCTGTTTATTAATAAAAGATTTCCATTGCAACCAATGCCAATGATGTTCATCACAAAAATCAAGGATTGTATCAAGGTAAAACAGAATGTAAGCAAGGTAATTATATTCATAGACATTAGTGACATCAGGGATTAGAATTTCTAGGTTTTGTATTGGTATAGGTGAAAGGTATGTAAGTAGTATTATTCAATGATATTCTTGTTTAATAGCAAATTAAATTAACAAAATATAGCTCACCTTGAATAACAGCCTGAAGATATTCATTTTTTTTCCAACCACAACTCACATTTTTTATAAGCACAAACAAACCTGCTAAGTTCCAGTACTCCTTGTTGGAACAACTCACAACTTTTTCATCTGAACTCACCACCATAAACAGATCTATTCTTCCAGAGTCCAGTCCAAGTACCTTGCATCCATTCAAATCAATATTTGATCCTTCTTTGTCAGCATCCTCTTTATTATCATCAACTTTCTTTTGCAGACCATCAGTTTGTATGGAGTAAGCAAAGATTTAATTTTGGATGGTTACATATAAGGTTGTGGGCGAAACCCCTTAATGACTGTCGAAACTCTGTCGAAACTCTAATGAACAATTAATGTGTAACCTGTCGAAACTCTGATGATTGGCGAAAACCCCAAATGCGAAACTCTGCTGAAACTCTAATAAACAATTAATGTGTAAACTGTCGAAACTCTGTCGATTGATTTCTGGAGGAGTTTCTCCCGCAACCTTAGTTACATAACAATTTAACAAACACAGTCAATCATTTCTTTTAATTAGTAAATGTTGAAATTTTATATTGAAATTCCTTGGTTGATAAAGGATCTGTGAATTAAAATTTTGCCCCTCCCTCTCTAAGTTTGAACAGCCTAAAACGGGATTGACAAAATTCTTTAATTGACAATCCATGAACAAATCAGTGAAAAAGTCCCAAATTTATTGTGCAAGAGCTCTATAATTATATTTTACTACATTAAACTATATTAATTTTTAGATAAAATTATTTTTGAGATTTACTTTATTCATATATAAAAGGATATCATTCTATGGTGCAAAAATAATAATACAACTTTTTGTGCAAAGATTGATGATTAGCAATTTAATTAGTAATTTACAAATCTGTGTTTCTTACAATTTCCTACATAAGAATGTTTTTTTTCATCACACTTAAAATGTTTTTAAATAAAAATTTTTTTTTTTGAGATTAACTAATTTATATATAAAAGCTACATCATCCTATGGCACAAAAAGAATAATACAACTTTTCGTCCAAAGGTTTAACAATTAGCAATTTAATTATCTAAATCTGTGTTTTTTTGATTACTAAATTATGTTAGTTTTTGGATAAAATTATTTACTTAATTTACCAAATCACCCTGTGGCACAAAAAGTATATGCAACTTTATTATTATTAATGTAATAAATAGTTATTTTCAAAAAAAAAATTTTTCAATTTCCTTTCGATTTCCTTTGACAAATAATAATTCTAAATCATTATGTTTTCTTCGCAATTTCAAAAAAGGCACAGTCATTTTTAATAATAGAAATAATAATAATAATAATAATAATAATAAAAATCAATTCCGAATAATAATTAATGATTATACATCTGTTCTGAAGATCATTCTTTAATTAGCAACAATGACACCTACCGGTTCCTTCCAAACATTAACACCATTCAAATTATATGTACCTCACTCACTACTTTACTTTTGTTGTAAATAAAATTATCAGTTTCTCCGGCTTTTGTTTTATTTTATTCCTGATTAAAAGAATTAACTTTTAGCTCCTGATGGTGTATTCCAAAAATATATTTTATAAGTATTGAAAAGAAATAAATTTATCAGAAAATATTATCGCTGTTATATGCAATTATATATACTCACAATATTGGAAAAGCAAAAACTGAAATAATGAACAAAGGAATTTTTCGCCTACCATCTGAATTTAATGATGATGATCTTGGTCCATGGGATGTTCTACTTAGTGATTACGCGATCAGAGATATGCGAGGGTTGGAGCCTCTCGCGATTAATGCTGTCATGGTGAAACTCATGCAGATATCAAGTGGAAAATGGAAAAAATACAATCTCCAACATACAGTACAATCTCACTCTCACATCATACCTATTTATGAGACGGAGCTTCCAGATAATGATGGCTTAAAAATTCTCTGGCAGGTTGATTATGGATTTTCTGTTCGTAACAATTCATTTATGCAGTATGCGAAGGTTGGACAGTCACTGCGAACCAAGAGCAAATCAAAGATACATTAAAAAAATACTGAATTACTTCATAAAGTCTACACTTCCGAGCATAAAAACCGCTGCATATCCCAACATATCAGTAATATCATTTTACCTGCAACCTTTGGAAATGAAGAAGTAACAAAGTCTACC